CGGAATTGCTTGTTAGTCTGATCCACGAGAGTGTCTGTATACACTGGACGTAGTCCGCAAGAAGTGCATAGGAAAACTATGCGGTTACGACTTATCTATGGGATAGCCTCGTTAACCTGGATGTCGTACGCAAGAAGTGGCTCACTGTACGATGCGGGTTGTACTATCCAGTCGAGTGCCTGTATATAACTGGCTTCGTCAGCTGAAATTTTTTAATCGGATGGTTGGATATGCGTAGAAGTAATAGTTCTCCAAAGGTATTATAATCGTTTAACAGGGCCTAACGTTCACATGACTATTTAATTGTCTAAAATAAATATAAAAATAAATTTTGTTTTGACATGTACGTTTTTGACAATGCTCGCAACAAACTGGACTAAATCGTATTATTTAATATGTTTATTTATGCAATAAGTAAACTTCCTTGCACTAAAATAAAAATAAACATTATGGTGTAAATAAACTAACTTTATTTTAACTTTTCCGTAAGTAATCGTTTGTAATTCAATCGTTTTCTATATCTTTATATTTTCGACAAACTTAAGCGAAAAAATAATTTCTCGTAGTTTACATATGTACCAAAGTAATTATATTTACTGTTTATAATTTTAAATATATATATGCACTGCATTAGGTTGTGTATCGCTAAACGAATCGATATTCGATAACCACACATATTATTTTAGCCAACTGAAGGATTTCTTCCTGAGACAACATTAGACATTAGTCACTAAGCAATTGAGGTCTTTATCTGGACTAGTATGAGAACAGCTGATAAACTTGTAAATATAATACTTATCACATATTCATCGTATCGATACGCCAGAATTATCAGTTTATTTTCGACGTTCCATTTCTAGATCATTCGATATTGATGGATGGGAACTATTTTATAAGCGGAGGTGTCGTTACAGGAATTGTAATTGTTACATTAACTTGCCAGTTTTTGTACAAAAGGTAACATATTATTTTTCTGGCTCATATTACAACAATTTGTGACTATCATATTCATATCTATGTTTAGTAATTGTGATAATTCATCACTTTCCTCTGAATATTTTCATACATATATATATATATATATATATATATATATATATATATATATATATATATATATATATATATATATATATACACACACACACACACACACACATCTTATTGACTGCAAATGTTCTGTTGGGCATCTAGCAGTCCTGAATGTTTATATACCTTAACATTTCAGTGTCTCATTTGCGTGTTTGAATTATCACTTAAAAGTAGACACCAAAAATGAAACTGTTGGCAAATCCTCAGATTTCTGTCATTTTGAGATTCAATGATTGCTATCATAGTTTGTTATCTTATCCCTTATTTTCCATAATTTATATTTTATTATACAAATCATAAGCTAAACATTTTCAGTGCGTTATGCCATCATTGTTTATCTCGATTGCCAGTGTGGTATTCCATCCTCTTTCACGATTGCATCTGTAATACGACAAAGTTGGGGTCAAACATTTATAGTATTCAATTATTGGTGGAGGGGTTGTCACGGTAGTATACTATATTGGTCTCTACCCCTTTCATTAAAGTATGGCGTTGTTCTTGGTAATATTGCCTTTGTAATACTCCATATTTGTCACTGTAGTATTCCATATCTTTGTATCATTATCTTGCTTCAACGAAAAGTATTTATTCTAAGACGTTCATAATTCCAATATCTGACATTAACATTTGACCAGCAATCTCATGCTTGTTACACAGAAGACGCCAAACATATCCGATCAGCTTTAATTTATGGTGATTGTTTTGCAAGATTAAAATTAAAGTTAGTCCGATGCTTCATGATAAAACAGTAAACTTCCACCCGGGAGAAAGAAGTTTTCGTTTTTATCCAACAATGATAAGAAGTGAACAATTCTTTTTCTCACATTCCTTATAGAATTTTTGGATGAAGTAAACATGACATATTGTCATCACACAGCAAAATAAAAATGCGATGAAAATTTTTCAGATTAAGACTGGGTGTAAAATGTTTACAATATAAATTCAGTGTACAAATTAAACGAAGTTCAAAATCTTATCAACTTTGAAGGAACATTGGTAGAGAAGGCTAAGATAATAATATTATAAAGCATCAAAATGTGCAATAATACAATTTTCTAATATGATAAAGTCCCCCTTTACTGTAACATTGATTGAGACAGACAAACATGATAATAACAATAATAATGAGAATATAAATTTTGTTTTACAAAATAACACTTGGAAAAACAGGGGCTTTTTTTTGCTCAAAATCGGACGATAAAGCTGTACATATAGGCGAGTATGTCAGTGCAAAATGTTTTGTTTGAGGAACATTTTACTTCAAAGGCTGTACATTTTAGCAGTTAAATGTGTTGCAATTAATAATTATCTTGCATACACAAGTAGAAATTATGAAATGTCCAGTTTCGTGTGCAATAGAAGGTCCTATGTAAAACACAAGGATTCCAAAACACACACACACACACACACACACACACATACACACATATATATATATATATATATATATATATATATATATATATATATATATATATATATATCTGGTGATTGATCATATACTGATAGGAATGCAAGAATATTGTCATGTTCAAATTCCTCTCTTATTATGATAATACATATACAATTTTAATATGTTTATGGCATAACGCTATTCAATATGACCTGCTGTCAATTTAGAAACTTTATTGACAAAAGTAAGCTGTGTCTTAAAGTATGTTACTTCATTAATAGCCATACAGGCCTAAATATACCTTCCAAGGGCAGACTTCTATGCTTATTTCTTTTTTATATCAGATTTGTTTGAGAAATTTAAGTGGTACAGTCTTTAGAAATTTTAAATGAAAATTTATTTGTTTTTTTTGTTTACTTTTTATCACTATTTATTCCAGTTCCAGCACAAACCAGTGGCATCTCCACAAACAAAATCAACTTACCAATTTTGATCGTGTTTGTGGGACATAAGTGCCTGCTATTTGCAATATCTTAGCATTGGCTCTGTTAAATATGTTTTCTTGGATTATCAACTATTTTTTTCTTCTTAAGGTGGTGTAAAAGAAGAGCAAACGGTGCAGCAAGTAACGCATATGACGCTATCGACGCCCATTATTACTCCACTATCTGTAACCAGCATCAGTGTCTGACTGAAAGTGTGACTATCACATGTTCCGTTCCGGAACAAAATCAGCGTATTGCACTTATGGGAGAAACTTGGCAATCACTCTGATATCTTCAGAACGGACCAATTGGAACTGAAACAAATAGAAATTTTGTATATTGACGTTTTACAATAAGAAATCAAATGATTACTTAATATAATTGTATTTTACATCCGATTTACAATACTCATAGGTTTATGCGTGTAAAAAGTGCTACAACGGTTACGCAGAGGAAAACATTTTGCCTGTGGTATGTGTTCCGATTTATGTTATATATCCATTCAGGATGTAAGCGCAACATTTGACAACACTGATTCACTGGCATAAAGCTTATACCAATATCTCATTATCTGCTAAGGCAAGCAAGACGATAAAATCTTTTATTTGTGCGAGAGTGGCTAGTCTAAATCATGTGTTTGGCATTGGGTTGTGTGAATTTCAACAAGAATAAAAATAATTTAACTTCTTCTTAAGAACCAATAATATACAATTACGTTGTTTGGCGTGCATTTCAGTCTTTGATATGTTTCCATACTATGTTGACACCGCTTAGCCCATCCCAGCATGTCTAGCTGGTTAAATCTTAGAAGTGAAACCCTGTTTGTCTGGGAGATGTGTGTTTTAGTGTGGATTTTTAATGTCCTCCCTATAAGTGTTATAAGTTTTTTTTTAAATTCTGAAATTATTAAAATAGCAAATAAATAGTTGATAAAATTCTGTTCTCGTACACATAGCAGATATTACATTTTTGCTAAGCATCACATTGTTTTAACTGAATCTGTCAGACTAAAATGGGTATTAAAAAAAAACTAAGGTAATGTTCCAGCTATTACAAATATATCTAAATATTAACAGGCTGTATAAAAGTCAGATTTCATTCAAACTTTATCTAGTGCTAATAACTCCTGAATTTATAATATAAGTTTTCCCAATTTAGGTTGAGTAATTGTATCACTCATTCAGAATCAGGCAGAAGGTATAATAGACCCCTTTCACCAGGACGAGTTGCAGTTCCTAATATCGATAGATTAATTCAAAACGAGAATATCAATTTTGAATGTTCTTTTCATTGACTTAGAGGTGATGATATGCGTTGGAAACTCCGAATAATATTATTACATGTACATATACTTATAGTATTGTCTATGAGCATTAATAATAATAATAATAATAATAATAATAATAATAATAATAATAATAATAATAATAATAATAATAATAATAAGAAGAAGAAGAAGAAGAAGAAGAAGAAGAAGAAGAAGAAGAAGAAGAAGAAGAAGAAGAAGAAGAAGAAGATACTGTTGTTGGGCTTAACGCCATTTTTCAGAACACGATAGGCTATTCATGGCGGCCAGTACTAATGGTGGAGGAAGAAACCGGGAAATCACCGGCAAGAACCACCGACCCAAGAGAAGCTACTGGCAAGCTTTCTCACATATCCACATTCGACGAATCCTAGACTCGAACACACGCAGACAGAGGTGAGATGAAGAAGAAGAAGAAGAAGAAGAAGAAGAAGAAGAAGAAGAAGAAGAAGAAGAAGAAGAAGAAGAAGAAGAAAAAGAAGATGTGAAGTGATTATGATTTTTAACGTATCTTTAACAATATTTCAGTCATAGCGGTACAATGTCTGCATTGTGGCAGTTTATAGTGATGTCTAGCACTGGGGCATCATGCTACAGACATTTATAATGATGTCCCACCCAGTCACATTATCCTCTCACCAGGCCGACCAGTCTTAACAGTAACCTCTTAATGCTGAGCGTCAAGCGAGGCAGCTGTTAGTACCATTTTTGTAAGTCTTTGGTATGACTCGACAGGGGATTGAACCCACGACCTCTTGCATCCAAGGCGGATGCTCTAACCACTAGGCCACCGGAGCGGTTAGAAGAAGAAGAAGAAGAAGAAGAAGAAGAAGAAGAAGAAGAAGAAGAAGAAGAAGAAGAAGAAGAAGGAGGAGGAGGAGGAGGAGGAGGAGGAGGAGAAGGAGGAGGAGGACAAGAAGAAGAAGAAGAAGAAGAAGAAGAAGAAGAAGAAGAAGAAGAAGAAGCCACTTCTCCAAAATGTTATTTTCTTCTAAAGCCAAATAATAAAAATGCACAAAACGAAGCAAATAAAAAATGTCTCTTAAAAAAAAGATTTTTTTAAAAAAAAATGTTTTAGAACGTTTTTATCATATTTTTGCACTAAACGAATTTAAAGCAAGTTCTTTTTAAATTTTACAAAAATTTGTCAAATCACGTTTAGTGGTATATACAGTTTAGCTATCAAAGCATGAACAGAGGTATGTTGTTTAAATTATAACTAGTATAAGGTGGTAAAACGATCACTATTTTTGCAGATTCAAAAGTCAGCAGCCTGCTCTCATTAAACCAATACCAACTTTAGTCTGTACTAAAATCTACTAGTCTCTAATTATTGGACAAATGTTAGTTAAGAATCCCGAAAAATGTCAACATGCGCCCATTTTTAGAACACTGGATCTACGTCGACAATTATCTAAGCAATTTCAATTCATTTATTATATTATTTTGATAATTTAATATAAGATAACATTATTCTATAGTTTGCTATTTTACTTTAAATAGCATTTTTCAATAACTTAGTCGTTTAATTAAAATAACATTATTCTAGAGTTTTGAGTCTATCTTTTTATATAAATTATTTTTTATTTTATAAGATGTAAATTGTGATGCAATTAAAAATTAGCTGCTGTAATTTGAAGGATTTTAATTTGTATATATTATATAGTCTAGGACTACCCGTAATAGTGACCCACAGGGCTCTGTCAGCATAATGAACTTGAATGATGAGCAAAATCGATGATTACTAATGACTGGCGGAAATAGATCGATGGTTACATTTGACTGGCCGAAATAAGGCAATGTACCTGCTTGAAAGCAATTCATATTGGAATGTTCTTTCCTTAATACATGAAATAAGGTTATTAACCAAGATTTTGGAAACTATACAAGATTATGCAACGTAAGCTAGTGTCATTTAACATAAAGGAAGTCAAACGTATGAGACATTTAATTTATATAGTTAGATGTGCTGAACTAACTAAATTTTATTTAAATATTTTGTTATCAATGTACATGAATACATACGTTATGTATACCCCTTAATTATTTTTAATAAATTCACAACACGGAATTTGTATTCTTTTTTATATAATATAAATGGTGCATTAACTGTTAATCTTTATATTTTAGTCATCACTTGGGAGAAATAGACTCATTACCTTTTCTGCATCTATGAAGAATCGCGATGGAAAGTAACATATTGTTCGCAGTCAGTAGGGTGCTCGAATCGAAGAGAACTTTGGGATGCGGAATGTTGATAATATGAAGCATCCTGGTTATCCTGTTCGAATTGTCAGTTACAAAAAAAGATGAAAATAATAAAAAAAACAACAAATAAATAAACCGAAAGATCGAAAGCATTAACTCTTGACTCCCTTAAGCTAATAATGACAGAGAGTCATTACCATCGAATATATCGAAGTATATAATAAACTCATGCTCAAAGAGAGTCAACATACAAAACAAATAATATAAAGTTTATAAAAAAATCTTATGAACTAAACTAATGCAAATATATTAACAGTCTTGGACTGCCAAGCGATTGCAGTAAAATTTTAAAATAGAATCTATCAAACAATAATAAATCATTGAAAAAAGCATAACCTTGAACTTATGTACGGTGTGTCTGATTTTGTTGGACATATTTGTATTCGCAGGCAAATGATTATTAAAATACAACAGGACTCCATAGAATGATTATTTTATTTTCCTAATTAAAGCTTCATGCAAGTAAGGCCAAGCACCAAAACATTATCACATGAATGAGTTGTCAGTGCACATTATTTACTGCATACAAGGATATATACTAATCTGATGTGAAAATTTAAAATAAAAAGGGAACTGAAAACTGATAAAGCTTACCTCTTCTCAATGTCATGTATTACCATAAATTTAACATGTAACCACGTACTCAACAATGTAGTTTACTTACTTTTATAGGGGCCACGGTTGGCCACGTGATTTAAAGCGCATGCATTTGCTGATCACTACCATCTCACCTCTCTCTGCCTGGGTTCGAATCTTTGGTTTGGCCAATGTGGGTATGTAATAAAGCTAGCCATTAGTATCGTGTGGGACAGTGGTTCTTACCGATGTTTTCCCAAGTTCTTCTTCCACTACTTATACTAACCGTTAATAGCCTATCATGCCCAACAACATCAACTATATTGTTTTATACTGAAGAAACAGTATTGAAAGAAATCTTTGAAAATTTTTTCGTGCATTTGAATGCAATTTACAGTGATTTAATATATACAATAATCGTTTTTGTCAGTCGGTCCCAAGGAAAGCAACTCCAGCTGCCTAGTAGAATCTCTACAGTGGTTACTTACCCTGAAAAGTATGGTAAACTTTATTATACTATCAGCCACACTAGCTAATAGTGGAAACTGACCTTTGTAGACTTCAAATTGGTAAACAAATGCATTTATAAGACCTACAACCATATTTTTTTTTAATGTTGTTAGAAAGTCTCTATATGGCAATTTATCCCTAATGATTCACATAAATGTGGGAATTAAATCGCATACTTTGAAAATAGAGACAGGTAGTCATGACAGAATGGAGAGAAATAATAGGTATTGTGAACTATGCCAGAAAAATCACGTTTATTTAGTAGAAAATGAGTCCATATTGTTTGTGTTTGTCCAACTTACGACCATATAAGAATGAAATACTTCTATGAAGTTTATTATCTCTTTCTGTTTGTAGAAAAATATTTATTCTTAATGAGTCATAGCAATATATTAATTATAAGAAATCTTTCTTATTACAATAATTTGGCTTTTTATCTCAGACGGTCTTTGATAACTCAAACGAATGGTGAATAATATACTTGGATGTATTAACATCTTTATAAAACAATGCACCGATTATCGGAAATTATGTATCTTCACTCATGAAGAACACAATATTTAACTTCTTTAAACAATGCCACACATTATATTCACTTGCATTTCTAATATGGGCAGGTGACCTATATTACTGAATAAAGTATTATTATTATTATTATTATTATTATTATTATTATTATTATTATTATTATTATTATTATTATTATTATTATTATTATTATTATTATTATCCCTGTTGATTCAAGGTGTATCTAATTCCTGATTGGCCATAGACCCACACCTAAATTCATTTTCTTCTTGAAAACATTGGCATGAAATGACTATATACAGCGTTAAGCAATGTTAATATCTAGCTTGATTATCAAATAAATCACATTACCTGTTTAACATTGACGAAGGTATCAATGTCAATATTCTGGTCATGTTGGCCGCAACAAGTGAATGGATTTCTTATTAACCAAATGGATTGGTAATTTGTTTCTTTCGTGTATGTGTAACTGTGTGTTAGAATTTTAACGTCGCTTTAAAAACTGTTTAGTAATATCTCTAAGATGTCTGCAGTGTGACGGTTGTTAGTGGTGTCTAGGACTGTTACCTCATGTCGCAGACATGTATAATCATATCTCGTCCAGTAACATTATACTAATACCACACCGACCGGTCCTAACACTAACGTTATGATGCTGAGCTCCTAGCCAGATAGCTGTCAGTGACATTTTGTAAGTCTTATGCATGAATAGGCCGGGACATAAAATCATACACACAAAAAAAACAAAAACAAACACACACACTTAAGCACACAACATAAACACAAGTCTTAGGTATGAATCGGCCGGGACACACACACACACACACACACACACACACTCACAACATATGCACACAAGCACACACACACAACATATATATGTGTGTTTATATGGTTGTTGATAAATGATAATTAAGTACTAGATCGTCAATAGGGTGTGCCTGCTACGCACGAGTGCATTTAACACCGATTCAGTCGCATAATTTTTGGTGATGCGTATTTTATGGGCTGGTGAGTGCAGGCAAGGCACTGGTTGCAGTTTACAGACGGACCAGGGTTCGAATCTCCTTAGTGTAAGAACTAAAGTATTCTAACCTGCATGATGATATTATTTGTAATAATATATTAATTCTGCCTGCTATTATCAAGCATTTTTGTGAGGAATACAGGAATAGCATGTTCCAATCTGTTTTGTGTATATTTATAATTTTATTATTGTGCCTCTTTTCTTCCTCAATTAGCATTGATTTATTTTTCTATAAAATACTTCAACTAACTGTTTGAATGATTAGGGATATTAGCCAACATTTATAACATTATGTATGAAGGCCTACAATGACATTTTGTATTATACGGTCTCTAGAAAGGCCACTGTAAGAAAAATTGGAAAAAGGAATGCATTAATAAAATCTTGCTCTCAAAACTGTTCTGTTTACAACTGAATTAAAAATGCGTATTTGAGACACAAGACAGATGAAAATAAGATGACTTTTCCCAATTAAAGCTTAACATATTCTAAGATTAAACAAAGGGCATTAATTATATATCTCTTATTGGTATTTACTTCTCAATTTATAGCTTTGTCAGTTTATTGACAGTATTTATTGATTATGGGGAGTCAGTGTTGGAATAAATTTTCTCATCCGGGTAATTAGCCAATATCTAGGAGCAGATGCCATAAAGTACATGATTCATCAGACTTTGCGTTGACAGGGATACAGTATTAACCATATTTTGTGATGACAGGGATACAGTATTTACCAGATTGTGTGATGTCAGGGATACAATATTCCTATATTCACCAGATTTTGTGATGCCAGGGATACGTATTCTCCAGATTTTGCGATATCAGGGATACAGTATTCACCAGACTTTGTGACGTCAGAGATACAGTATTCACCAGACTTTGTGACGT